AGAAATGTAATCTATCTATAAATAAATAAAAATAATAATCAAAAAATAAGAGAAATTTTTGTTTTTTATTTGAAAACAAAATTATTCAGAATACATAAAATTTTTGAAAACAAATGGAAATAAAAATAGGAAAATACGATTAGTGAGTAACTAGAAGGGGTGACTAAAAATGGAAGATGGACGGATGTGGTGGTCGGTGGTCATTGGAGGTGGCCAGAGTGTTACCAGACGTCACGAAGTGGCCGGAAGGCCGCCGAAATGTGTTTAGAGGTCACGTGCAATTGCTAGAACGATCGATACCAATAATGGCAATGGATGATGGCCAAAAGTGGTGGAGAAGGGAGAAGAGAGTGAAAATATGTTTTGAAAATAAATAAAAATACCTATTTTTTTCTTTTTCAAAAGTTTTGCAATCAATTCTGTATTTTAAAAACAAAAATAATATACTACATAAATTTTAATTTTAATTTTCAATTTCTATAAAAAAAAATTAAAAATAAAAAATAAAATTAAAAAAAAAACGATATGATAGCAATTCAATAGAGTTCCACCCAAAAGTATGTATCTAGATGACTAAAAGTTAAGCAAGTTGTCTCCGATTTCCTTGCTTTCATTATTGTAGAAATTGTAAATTAGTGACACGTAAATAAAATAATTACAAAATCATGAGTCTATAAAAGAGAGCTGGGCTTAAAGTGATAATTTTTGATTGCACTAAAACACATCTACTTCCATTTTCTTTTTCTTTTTTTTTTTCTCTAACCTTTGTTGGCTTTTTAAATGGTTTAAAAGTTAAAATTATAATTACAAGTGTACCGGTAAGAATTGAATAATCCTTACATATTTAGTATGACGTCAACAGCCTTAATTTCTCTTTATTTGTTTTGGGAAACTTATCAATAAGTTTCATATACATAGTTCAAGGCCCATCTAGTCCTCAAACAAAATACTTGCACCAATTAGTCCTACACATTTTTAATTATTATCAAAAATGCTATTTTTTTTTTTAATTTACAGACACTGTTATATTTTACTACTGTCAAACTTCCGTCAAACGGTCACCGAAGACTCGTCGAAATGTTCAACATCACCGGAAAAGTCACCAGAGTATCGCCGAAAGTTCACCGAAATGTTAAGAACGTTAATGGAAGTCGCCGGAATGTTCAAAACGTTCACTGGATGTTAAGAATATCACTAGAGACTCACCGGAATGTCTAGAATATTGCCGAAAAAAAAAAGAATAAATTAAGAAATTAGAGCAAAAAAACATAACATAATGTGTTAAATATTGATAAACTAAAAGAAAAAAAAAATGAAACGACAAAAAACAACAACAATGAGAAAAACATATGCTATTTTTCAATTTTTGTAAGGTTTAAGCAAATAATCTCCAATATTGATCAAACTGAAAAGTAAGTTTTGAAACTGTTTTACAGTTTCAAAGCAAAAATTTATTAAACATTTATCCTTATTAATCAAACTGAAAAACATGTTATAAAACTGTAAAATTTTACAGTTCTAAAGAATGTTATAAAACTGCAAAATTTAACAGTTTTATACCATGTAAAATTTTACAGTTTTAAACCATGATTCATTCCAGCACCAAAAAATTTGAAACTGTAAAATTTTACAGTTTTCACTGCCTGTAACTAAAACTTGAAAACTACTTGTTCAGAACTTGAAAATTTTCTCCATCAGAACAGAAAAAGAGAAGTGTATAACAGAAAAAATGTAGAAAAAAATAAGATATCGAAGGAGAGAGGCGGATATAGAGAAAGGATTGTACTCCGACAATTATTTTTTGTTTAGATCTAGCCAAATCTAATGTAAATCTACTCAAATCTGATGTAAGTCTACATCAGATCTAAGCAGATCTACTCATCTTCTTTGTCGAAAATATATCTTCTTCGCCGTCGGTGAGGGTGAAGTCACGAGTTGATTTTGATGGTTGATGGTTACCGGTGAACCACGATCAATGGAAAAAGACATAATCACCGGTCGTCGTCCATGACAAAGAAGATAAGAGAAAAATGCAGAAAAAAAGAGAGAGAGGAAAACGTAAAGAGTAAAGCAAAAAGCACAGAGAGAGAGAGAGAGAGGGAGGAGAAAATAGGACTTTTGAGTCTACTCAAAAAGTTGTTAGATTAAATAGTGTCAACATATTTCAAATAGGACCTGTGGATAATTTTCCCATTTGTGGGGGTTCCTATGGGCTGCAACATAAACCATTGGCAACCCAAATGAGGAGAGGTTAATGGGCCTCATTTTGAAGTTTGTTAACAAGCCAAATCATATAATAGCCAACCAAGATACAAAACCAAATTATTAATCATCAGATCAGATAGACTTGGACCATTAAGGGATCCACAAATCAAATCCCAAACCAAATTGTGTGATTTATTTCACTAACTTCCTACTTAGAGATGAAACTTATATAACTAGGACCTTCAGTTTAGTAGTTATGTAGTACCGTTGTGAGGTTGCAGATTCAAGTTCTATGAAGAGAACTTTAATACCATGCCCTTACCCCTGTGCAAAGATTTTGTTGTACAATGGATTTTAATACCTTGCCCTTATGGTAAATTCAAAAAACAAACAAACAAAATAGGTTAATTTCTTACCTTTTTATGTTGCTTAATCCTAATTCAACTAGCGGATGTCAGTTAGTTATAATCTTATTTGGGAGTTAGAGCAAAAATTGATTATTTCTTTTCCATATAAAGATGGTATGTAATTTTTTTTTTTTCTTAAATTTAAACTTAAGTTTTAATTTGATATAATTCTTCTTATATTTGTAATTAATCTCAAAATAAAACTTAAATAATAAAAAGTCATAATTCAACTTATAGAATATAGTTACATTCCTTTATAAATTTTTTCTTTTCTTTTCTTTTTTTTTCCTTTTTTTGGGTGGTGTCTGATCCTGAACTTACTCCCTTTGAAGGCACCTAGAAAAGGAAGCAGTTGGCCCAAAATCCAATGTAATTCCTGGTGAAAAGACCTTAGGGGGTTGGCATAAAACTAATCAAATCAAATCAGAGTTCATGTTTGGCTAAACTTATCAATCCTAACTGTTAAGACTAGGACTGGAAGAAAAATTGGATACAACTCAGCCCATCATTAGAAAACAATTGAAATTTTGACTTTTGATTGATTTTTCATAAGATATTGGTCTATTTTAGTTCTAAAAAAATTTGTATTTATATTGATTAAAATATTATATTTAAATATTTTTATATTTTGATTCTTTGACAGTTAGAAGTAATTAATGTTTTGTAGCAAAAGTAAGGGAATGAAAGAGTTTTGTAGTAGCTGCTACTCTATCACTCTTCATTTTTTTCGTTGTGGAATATTATAAGTTTCAATAAAACATCAAGTTTCGTGTGAATTACACTAATCAAAAACTGACAAAAAAACAAACCATAGCATGTGATCCATCTTAGTTCCCTAAATCACAAAATTAAAAGTTCACTTTAGTTTTAAATTAACTTTGACCGAAGCACTACCGAAATTGGTACCCGTGCCTACTTCCAACCTCTACCATTTTATGGGTTTCTTTCTTTTTGCATATGGCCTTGCCACTTTCTTTGGCAACATCCACTAAATCGGAACTTAATTTAAAAGCCATATTTTGATTCGGACGTTTCCGAGATGCCGCTAACAACCAACAAATGGCCACAAGGGGCACAAGTTAACCATCACAATATGAGATTGAACCCATTACTACGCTAGTTAAGATAATAAAAGATGAGCTTATACAATTGCGCTTACTAAGATAGAACACTAGTCATAAGTGTGTTGTGTGGCCTTGCTGTAGGATTTGTATCTAAAGCCAAATGACTTACTGTTTGTATCAAAAATGACAATCGAACTCAAGGGTGACGCGTGGCATGGATGACCTATGGGAATAGCAATGGTTGGTGATTTTATCAAGTATGATCATCAAATAATTGACTAGTGGTAGCTTCACATTTTCTAGGAATTGGTTAAGAGATTATTTTTTCTTTTCATAGTATCTCTGGCAGATCATATCCTTGCTAATTAAGGATCCTTATTAGTTATTACTTCTATTTTAAATCAACTTAGAGTTACAACTTTGGAGAGAAGTCTGGTGATTATGACACGAGGCATTCATCAATTACATTTGGAGCTACACTCTTAAATTACTAATCGCCAGGGACAAGTGGCAGCATATCATATCTATTGATAGCAAATTTAATTATGTAATACTGGAGATAAGCGGGCCTAAAGTTATGTTGTAGGGACTCTTGGCAATAGGAAAGCTAACTTAGTATCTCACTAGCTAAATTCACGAATACAAAAGATAATTAGATCTCAAATTATGTTGTTGGAACACTTCGCAATATGAGAGTTAACTTATTATCCCTTTCCCACTGGCTGAAAACAGTTGCAAAAGTGGAGGAGATGGCTCCAACGGCTAGTAGAGGCCTAATTATATAAAATGACAGATTGCAGAAGACACACACACACATACAATTCGCCTCAAACCAAATTCAAGATCTAGTGTTATTAATCTTTGAATCTTTATCAAGTTGTTCTTCAATTTCCAATTAGCATTAGCCTAGTTCATTCTCATTGTACTTCAATTACTTTTGGGTACAATCAAATATATCTTGTTTAATGTAAGGAGTTATTTTGGTATGTGGGAATCCAAACAGAAAGATGGAGACTGATAGTAGCACCCAAAATTTGTTCGTTTGACACTACTCTTTACACCATTGCACACCTAACCATAATTGCTAGTACAAAAGTTATTGGCATCTGAATCCCAATAATAACAAAGACAGGTTCTTAAATACCAAAAGAAGTAATAAACAGAAATTTTATGTAGAATTTTTGTACAAAATAATGTGATTAAATTGAACTCTTAATTTTTAAAAAGTCATCGCCATATCATTATGAATAGACTTTCTGCATAAATTGTTTTGTAAGAAAAAACTTTCCCTACCAAAAGACAAGGATATGCAAGGCACTGTTACCTGTAAGATTTGCAGCTTGGTGAATGAAATTTTGAGCAACAAAGCTCCATCACCACCTTGTCAATTTGATAAGCAATTGCTCATCACCTTGTAGATATATCAAAGAGATTATCAGGAAAGGGAAAAACCTTTGTAGGTTATAATTGCAGTTTAAATCATGAAAAAGTTCATTCTATACCCATCTAGTAATGATATCTCATCAAAACATAAGAAGAACTTACCACTATGTATATTGTAAACTCAGTCTTCATGCCTCTCAGCATGTCCAAGAAAACAAAAGAGAGCATTGAACTTCCCATGAATCAGCATTCAGCAACATAACATTGAGAGAGAGAGAGAGAGAGGGAGAGAGGGAGAGAGCTACAAGGTCTCATCATGTATTTATTGATTGTGAGAATATAGGATGAAGAATCTAGTCAAACGTTCTCAAATGCAATAGTGTTGTGTGAAAGTTAAATACTCTGTCCCACTCTCTTCTGTCCTCGTGTCAAACTCTCTCTCTCTCTCTCCTTGTATATGATTTTTATCTCTGAGTCTAATCGTGTAATATAAAATAAAATAAAATAATTATAATAAAAGAATAGAGAAAAGTGAAACATAAAATCTTATTTCTATGTGAAAAGGTGAAGATGTCATAGTGGTAGTAGCTAACAATCCAATTCAAAACAATACCATAGTAAAGGAGTAATAGGAGCCAACCTTTTCATACTAGCTGTCCCTTAATTTTTATAGTAATGGTTCACATTTTCTAATACCGCAGGCCAGTTCAGGTTATGAGATAGCCCCACATGGTTTCCCTCAACTGCCCAACTTGACCAATTCACCAAGTCTAAAATTTATTTATTTTTTTAATTGGAAAAGAAAGATTTACTTTTATTACGTAAATAAATTATTACAAAAGAGAAAGGAGGGTGGACAGTGGTCAAACTTAAAATTCTGTGAAAATAAATCCACACAACATAAGCAAACACAAACAGACCAATAAAAATAGTTGCCAAATCCACAGTAGTAAAACCAGCCATAACGTTTGTGAATTTAGCCGCCTTTAAGGAAACTGTGCCTCCTCTTGCAATATTTCCAGGAAAATGTCAAAGTCTGCATTCAAGTTTAAAATGCCAAGCTTATAAACCTACACCCACATTTGATTCGCAAATAAAGGGTTGGGATTAAATTATCCAACATTTAGTTGAATTTTGTAATCAGTGACAACTTACTTCGAGATGAATTTCTCATCTCATTTATGCCAGATTATTCTTATCTCCTAAGAGTAAGATAATTTAGGAAGCTTCTATCTCCAAATACCAAAAAAAATGAGTACACATTTTCTCTTAAATACACCCACTATATAGTTTTGAAATTTCATATCTCACTAAGTACACAATTCATTGTATAAAAAATGCCCCCATCTTCTTTAACCTTTAAAACGTAACCCTAACCCTAGCCGCCTCCCACCACCACCTCAAACCCTTTCCCTAACCCTATACAGTCTTAGCTACCACATACCACAAACTTCAATCGATCAATGGTTGAAATGTCGAACCAAATCCACAGGTTCAGTCAATAGCTAGTAGTGTGTATACTTTTTGAAAATAGAAACTCCTGACAGTAATCTCAAAGTAAGGCTGTCGTTTCAAAATGATTAATCTTGTACAAAATAACTTAATGAGAAATAATTTTAGAATAATTTATACTTTTAAATTCATAATTCACTTATAATGATATGATAAGTGAATTGAGTCACATATTATTAAATGTGTAATTAATTAAAAATTGCCACATATCATAATATATCATTATAGGTACAATTATAAGAAATTTTTGAGTCTCAAATATTTTTTTTTTTTTTTTTTTTTTAACGGTTGTCTTATTATTCTATGAGCAAAACAAACTTGAGGAAGAGACACAAGTATAGGGCGGAAAGTCTTCATGATTCACTAGTATTGACTTTGTCAGTAGGTGGGAGGATTTTCTGGTGGGGATAGGAGTACAGATTCCTACTGCCAACCCCAACTTTGACAAAGCTGCAGATAAATTAAACATAAGTAAAAAAAATTAATAAAAACTTGAAACCACGTGAGAGACTATAGATCACATACCACAAACACAACAGTCTTCAAACCTTTGATTTCATCTTAAAAATATAATATAATACAAATTTTGTGATCACACTGTCAAGCAAATCTTTGATTTGATCTTTCCATAATACGTGTCGGCTCATAAATTTAAGGATTGGTTATGCCCATATTTCTTAGAAATACTTTTATTTTAATAGAATCTTTATTTAAGTAGACAACAATAACATCAAAGTCAAAACAATGATGTTTCTATCTCTGGGTTGGTATGTGCTGCTAATATGTTCTGTGTCTGCATCTTTTGAGCCAGTATGCACTGGCATTTGCTGTTTTGTAGGATTGGATTGCTATCAGTGGCTGCATTCAAGGTTCAGTGGACTGCTTACAATGGCTCAGCTGGTTGTTGCTCAGATATTTTTTCTTTGTTTTTCCTCTGTTTGTTGGTCTCTCGCCAACGAGAAGGTTGGAGATTGAACTAGCTCCAAACTCTTCTTTATTAATGTATTCTATCATATTTTATATGTGTTTCATCAATAAAGTTTCTTTTTTTGCCGATTAAAAAAAAAAATCAAAACAACAATAACATCAAAGTCAAAACAATGATGTTTCTATCTCTGGGTTGGTATGTGCTGCTAATATGTTCTGTGTCTGCATCTTTTGAGCCAGTATGCACTGGCATTTGCTGTTTTGTAGGATTGGATTGCTATCAGTGGCTGCATTCAAGGTTCAGTGGACTGCTTACAATGGCTCAGCTGGTTGTTGCTCAGATATTTTTTCTTTGTTTTTCCTCTGTTTGTTGGTCTCTCGCCAACGAGAAGGTTGGAGATTGAACTAGCTCCAAACTCTTCTTTATTAATGTATTCTATTATATTTTATATGTGTTTCATCAATAAAGTTTCTTTTTTTGCCGATTAAAAAAAAAATCAAAACTATGGAAAAGTGTATTTATCAATCACTCTTAATAAGGATTTATTATGACTATAATCATATTTTGAAATTCTTTTGGGAAATAGGTTAAAAATTAATATTTTGATTTTTTCAACTTTTTCTAAAAAAAATGTGTAAAAAAATAAAAAAAAAAAAAAGTAATATGACTCCATAAAGCTAAAAAGCTAACTTTTAATCCAATTTTCAAAATATATCTTTTTATCTTTGTGAGCATAGTTGTTAAATCGATAATCATATTATAAATTTTAATTTTGAGAATTTTGAATAGAATCAAATCAAAAATATTAAGATTAAGTATAAATTATAAAAATGATATTAAATAATAGTATATATATACAAATTAATTATGACACATGTTATAAAATAATTGTTATACATGATTATAATGTCTAATTGGAAAGCCATCGCCTTCGTTTTCACTAATCATAAAATTATTCAAAAAACTAAAGAGAGATTTATTTATAAATCTCAATTAGAGGAGTTATAAATCAATAAGTCCATAAAGTTTTTTTGTGTTCCGCTTAATCTCATATATTTAGACTTATGTTCTAGGAAGTTGTCTTTTCCTTATTTATAATATTTTTTAGACTATTATTCCATTTGTTCTATTTTTAAGAATACTTATTACACACAATTGTAATCTTCACTTCTTTTTTTTTGGCAATTTTTGTGATCATTGATTGAGGTTTTCCATCAGAAATCAACTTAAAAAGTGAGGATTAATTCAACAAAACTTCAAAATTCCAAGATGAAGACTCAAAAAAATCATAAAAAGTGGTGCCATCGTCTTCGATGACCCAACTTGCTTCGAAACAAAGAGCCTTCAAGACCTCGTTGTTGTCGTAGTGTTTGGAAAGCTTGTAGTGTCACGACCTAAAACCCGTGCCTATGGGTTTAGTATAGTAACTGGCAAGTAATCCAGAGATTACCAAAGGCTTCTAAACAGATTAACACAAGAAAGGGGCTAGCGGAAGCAAATATACAAAATACAACATCCATAGAGCTGTGCAGATATACATGGAATAGAAAACTTTATATACACACATGTGACGTCATATTTACATTAGTCTTACGTCACTCACATATACAGATAAACCCAAAATGGGACTTAGCTCATTATACAGATAAATAAAAACTTGTTCAGATTCAGTAAAAGAAAACAAAGTCTTAAACGTAGTTCACAAAACTCGACCACTGACTCTTTTCGGAACCTCCTCAGGAGGCAAAAAGGTTGGCCAACAAAACGAAACTCCAGGCAATCAATTTTGAGTCTGGTCACACATCTAGATACCTACATACATAAATAATACAGTGAGCTGGAACTTAGTGAATAATAACAGAGTAAAGGATTTAATGAATGTTACCCATAGCAGATACAGAAAACAAAATTCAGCTCATATCAGAAATTGATTCATATTCTTGTTTAGAAATCAATATTCATAACAAAAATGGAATCAAAGTCATATTCATAATCAGAATTTGCAGTCAATCATACGTGGTACATCCATTAGCACTAACAGAAACAGTTGACCCATAAGGGACGGCCATAAAGGCATACAGTTGACTCACGTGCACAGAAACGATACAGTTGGCTCATGAGACATTGACCCATAAATGGGACGTATACAGAAGGCTCCATAATAATTGGCTCATGAGACGTATAGTTGGCCCATAATTGGGACATAACAGAACAAATAACAGATGTCATCTGAAGCTAAGGATGCCACGAATACATTTCAGAAACATTTGACAACCATTCATTCATATAGAAAATATTATTTCAAAAAATAGATCATCTTATATCATTCAGAAAATACATATAATTGAACATAGCTTTACAAAGTTATTACCCACAGTTGGCTCCAATAGCAGATAGACAAACAGAGCATATAACTAGATAGCTTACGACGCGTGACCTACATAATCACAAAACAAATGCACATTGAAACACACGCTCGAAATTCATTTAATTTCTTTATTTCTTTTCTAAGCGTGTTTCTAATCCTTATCCTCGTTACTATGTCTTAATGAGGGCTTAAAAATGCCTAGGATGCAAAGAGCATATCAAAGTATACCTTAGAATACTTAGTCAAATTTTCAAAAACAAGGCAGTCCACTCGAGTGCAACATTGGCAGCTCGAGCAATCTGCAAAGCCTGCAAAAATACGGGTTGCCTGATTTTTCTGCTCGACGGACGCTCGACAGTTGCTCAAGCCAAAGACTGAGTAAAAAGGGTCCTCACTCGAGTGCAACTCTGGTCGCTTGAGCAGTCTATAAAGTTCTGCAAAACTTCTGGGAGCATGAACTTTACTCTCGAACTAACTTTTGATCGCTCGACTGAAAGTACAAAACAAAGAATGGTCGCTCGAGCGCAATTTTTGTCCCTCAAG